ATGCCTATCCAGCTACAGTTATAATTAAAACAAAATTAAACCACTGCAATATTATTTCGAATACAGTTTAGAATATACACAACTATAAATTAAGGCCGCATTTAGGTTCGCTTTAATTCTTGTTGCTCCCACCAGAACATAAGGTTAATACAAGATCCCTCCACTTAACACGGTTTTTAGCCTTGGTTTCTGCCTCTCCCCATGTTAAACCCATTTCCCTGAGTTCTTGCTCAACGGTTCTCCGCCAGGTGTTCTTCGCCCTGCCCCTTGGTCGTTTTCCTTGTGGTGTCCAGCGAAGAGCTATCTTGGTGTTGTATGAATCGGGCATTCTGAGAACATGCCCAAGCCATCTGAGTCTTCTAAGCCTTATTTGTGCAATGATGCAGGTGGCTCCAGTTCTTTTGAGTAGGTCCAAGGAGGATATTCGGCAGGGCCAGAACACTTTGCAGATGCGCCTGAGGCAGTTATGGTGGAAACTTGATAGCTTTTTCATGTCAACCTTGGTGACCTCCAGCTTTTGCTCCCATACAGTAAAATGGATTTTACATTGCTGTTATAAATTTTGACTTTAGTGCTGATGTTATACTGGCTGGATTCAACCATGAATAGTCTGTGCAAAATATTGAGAAATCAATGTTTTGTTGACAGTTTAAACCCAGGAAACTTACCTTAATACAGTGTGACGGTTGAAAATCTATGATCTATGCATTATGTATGTGAATATTTTTGTGTATATGATGGTGGCTGTGTTTACAACTGTGTTTCTTTAGGGAGAACATTTATTCGAGTGAACTAATTTATTTGGAGTTTCAGCCCCCAAGTAACCGATTGTAAAATGCAAAGGAAGAAAATCTTTTATTGTACCGGTAGATGCATCTATTTTGTCTGCAATGCAGGGATTTGATTCATTTGACATTGAAGAAAATATCACTGGGATTGCCAAAGATGATGTACTCAAATACACATCGACTAAATAGAATCTTCAGAGATTTTAAATTCATACGCCTACTATATCAGACTAAAGTGATACTGACTATTATTATACACCTAGCTCTGTAACCTATGATGCTGAGTGCTCCAATAATTGTTATTAATATACTCGTGTTACTGTAAATCAAGTTATTGTACTCTGTTTGACAACTTTTGATCAATGAAAACACAAAGCAAATAATCGCAGAGCATATATGCCAATTTTATGATGTACAAAAACCTTAATTTGGGTATTTTGATAATACCACTGTTAACCTTAATATACATTATTATTTTTTAAAGAAAAATATCATTTGTCACCAGGCACTGTCAGTGTATATTCGACGACATATGAAATTGGCATCTACATCTACAGAGTTTTCTTGAAGAAGCCCTATTTCTAGGGCGAAACGTTGGAATAAACATCACAGAACTGACCAGATGTATTGTTGTGACAATCCTTGTGTTATTTGCATATTATCAACCCGCAATACTAGCTACTGGGGATCGTCTGATTTATTAATATTGTTGATTATTAAATAAATAAATATTAAATATAATGGAACCACACTATTGGAGAAAGAACAGTACATAACCTCTTATTTGTATGAGATCATTTATATTTTGCTATTTTCTTGATCACGAAGGCTATAATGACCCTCAGGGGTTCGGTTGTATACCGACGATGTGTATATAATTGACAGATGAAGCAAAATACCTTCCTGGACCCAAAACGCTGCGAAACCACGGTTAGGCAGTGAATGACATTGACATTGTCAATGCTGGACATTGTCTTTAAGTCACATCCACAAGTAATCTGAAACTGTGTAAGTCAGGTCTAAAATGGTTTATATAGTTATTTAATTAATTTTGAGCAAAATATAAAATATCTAGTACACTGCTAAAATCAAAAATCGAAGTAAATTGCAAATCGCTAATCACTGTTGGACGTTTTACATGTACCTAGGGGTAATAATTAATTTTGATTTTCCATTTTTGTAAATAATGTCAAAAATAAAAATAAAAAACTAAAAATATTGCTACATATTCCTCATATAATTCAATATCAACGATTACAAGTTGAACACTCCTCGTTATTAGTGTGTGCGTGATCATCTGATGATCCTCGGATCAGAGTGAAACTTATCATTCAATCAATGTCAATATTTACATGTGTCGTTGATCGCTGACTTGTTTTTCGTGATTTACCACCAGTAAATCAGATGAGACACTCTTACCTTTAACTCCCTGCTTTAACTTATCGAGAAAGACCTACTCACTGATCGACTTGAGGTGAAATGACGATCACACAAGTTAACACATTGGTGATATCTCTAGTGCATGAACTCAGTGTGTACTATTGCCACGAAACATGTTTACGGAATCATCTGTGGTCGGTCTTTCTGTCAACTTCACAACAAACAAACTAACACTCTTTCATTTTCACTAATAAAGGATTATGTTTAACGGTACATATACTAGTAGTTCATATTCCATTAGCTCAAATAGTTCAGCTTGTATATTTTCGTTCATAGTTGACATTTTTTTTACGATAATTACTTTGAAAACGAAAAAAAACATGTATTGGAGGAAAGACTTCACAAGTCTCACGAGAATACGCGAGATGTAAACAGCTGAAACAGGAAGCAAAGTGCGCGTGCAGTATGTGATGTATTTACTCCAAAATTTTGGGATAATATGGCCAAAGAATCTGGAGATAGAAAGAACGACAAGAAACGTGGGGAAGTGAAGATTAAAGATAAAAGGAAAGAAAAAGAACTTCCTCCAACGAAGGTAATATAAGCACGTAACAAAATACAGTCGTGACTGTCATTCAATGATTCATTTTCATGTAACCTCAAAGTTTATTCACAATATTACTATCAGAGGGACTGTAACAAATCGTAATAACATTCGCTGTTACTATACACATTACACATTCCCTGTGAATTACATGTATGTTGACATGAGTCAATTTATAAGGGGTCGGCCATAATTTTTGCGGGGGGGTGGGGTGCAGGCATGTAACACTTGCTTTATCCTATTAACAACTAACTTTCTCTTTGTAGTAATAGTTATCACAACTAATCTTTATTGCTATTAACTGATAGAAACATTGTATTTCTAAAGATACAATAAAGTTATTATTATTATTATTAGTCAGCTGGTACCATCATTATCATTTTTTTATTACTTCCTTATTAGTGTATTAATACTGTATTCTTTTACTATTATCTGTAACCATTGCTACTCTCTCCGGGGAGTGCGTAAGTGTTAATAAATAAATACTAGTAAATTATCGACACGGTTACTAGAAGAACGGTTAGGAAACTCTATTTTTAGATATGCTAATCACCATTGACTTCACTTTGCGTGTCCAACCATTATGACGTCATCGCTTATATTGCTAGCGCTGTTCGTTTTTTATGCGAGTCCAATAAATTGAAGAAATAGAGCTCATTAAGCCGAAAGATTGACGTATAAGCGCCACTGACTTCTATGCGAATGTTTTGTGATACTCAAAAAATGAAAATACCGATAGTTTGTTTAGTTGACAGATTTGCAGTCTGTGAATTGAAATTGACCATGGCATTTTGTACCCAAAAACACTGTCTGTATTGTAATGTTGGGTTACGAATAACATAACTAGTTTCAATCATAACTTTAGACAATAACGCTTTTTTTGTCTTTGTCGTAACAGTTCGAGAAAATTGCTGAAAAATCAGATTAAATTATATTTTAGTACAACGCATTGTTAAATTAATATTTATAGTTTACATCAATTCTGTGGGTTAAATACTCTAGGTTGATGTAGACAATTTTCATCGTTTCAGTAGTCTGTAGATCTGTGTCTGCTGATGTCCAAAATGGCGACGAAGATTTGTACCCCAAAAATGCATTTCTGAACATTTCATAAGTTTATTTTGTACATTGAATTATAATCAGCGAGTCTTTTATGAGAACTCTATGATAGTTTGAACAATGTTAGTTTCATTTTATCAGAGTTTGCA